CCCCAAAACCCCAAAACCCCAAAACCCCAAAACCCCTAAAAATCCGGAGTAATTGAAAATAATAGATTAATTATGACAAATTTATCCTGATTTCTCTTTATGATCCATTGATGAATACTCTTCAATCTATATTAAAGTTCGTCTTTTTGGTTTTGGGTAATTTGATTTACCTTTTTAAGAATCCATGGGATAAAACAGTTTGTTTGCTTTTTATACAACTCAAAGCTTTCTCTTTCTTCAAACTTTTTCTCTATAATTGGGACTCCAGAGACATATCGAAGTGTCAATGTGATTATTAGAGGGGCCAAATGGTAACATATTCCCATTTGATTGAGCAAGCTGTGATGTAGACTCACCACCATACTAAAGATTCGAAGAAGAAGTTAGGATGGCGTGACAACTTCCAGGGGCCGGTAGTTCAGATCTTTCCTTTGTTTTCTTCATTCTTCTTAAACACCAATATTTGAATGTCCGAGACGAACTCTAAAACTATTGCTGCTAAGGTTATGATCCATCCAATCCATTCAAATACGAACAAGTCATCTTTTTCATGAGAATAGATTGCTATGAAATGGGCTGAACTAGAGATTAGTAACATAGTGAGCCCGGTCATAATAAAGAACTCCTGAAAGGATTATTTCAAGGAATTTTCCACCAGCTTCTTTCCATTTTTGCCTCATTTCTGCGAAACGCCAATCTTCACCATTATGCTTAAGTAAAACATAGAGAGCCATTCTGATTGCCCAGATCCAAAGCAATGCAAGTGTGACAATGGTTCTATGATGCCAGTTTCCGTTCAGAATGAGTATTACCGTTATCGAACTACTTAAAATATTGCTGATGAGAACTTACTAACTATGAGACCCCAGAAGATATCGACGATTCCATTATCCTTCAAAATAAGTGAGAAGATGTACAAGATAACTTGGATGCCAAATATGGTAGCAATTGGGCTCCAGAAGTCCTCTGCTGATGCTTCTCGTATCATGCTAAAATTATTCAAATTTTAATTATCTCAAAATTTTAAATATTTTAGGGGTTTTGGGGTTTTGGGGTTTTGGGGTTTTGGGGTTTTGGGG